CAGCAGTTTCAGAAAACGAAGGGATATTAATAATGTCTAAAAAAAACCTTTTCCAAGAAAAAGAATCTTTTTCTTCATATATTTTGCTATATTCATTTTCGTTTTATTTTCAAACAAATCTTATCGATGCAGAAAACACTTCTGTGGTTAATCTCGTGACGGAAGAGGCGGGACTTTGTGAGTTTCGCTTCATCTGCATTCGTGTTCCAATGATGGAAGACTGGTCCAGCACTCCTTCAGTAGACCTACATCGCGCCAATCGCTAGGATGCCTTGAACTAACATTTTACTGCAATTTCAAATTATTGAAAGCAAATTTAATTTAGGACCTAATTAAAATTTTAATTAGGGCTAAAAATCAATATATCAGTACAACAACAACAACAAAAAAAGAAAGAAAACGGATTATGTAGGCTGGAGCATGTTTAACAGTATCGATTTTTGACAGAATCAAACACGCGACTAGGCACGTGATCAAGTGATATCGTTAATCTGACCAATTGTATCGATGTATACCTGTGGTGTAGATCAGTTCAACCTTTTCCTGCTTGGCTCGTAGGCAGAAACTTAATTAAATATCCATTCTCGACATATTTACATATATGCATTCATGCAATGTTTCTCACATACGGACGTCAATCATCGTCTATAAATTATATTGTGCTATTCATATGGCAGAATGACGAATTCTTATCGAATCCTTGTCCATCTCTGTTATAAATTTTAGATCCCAGCCCCCAAGAAATAGTTCTTCATTCATCGCAGCATGATTTTACAGTTATTGATAAATTAATATCTGATAAATTAATATCTGATAAATTAATATCTGATAAATTAATATCTGATAAATTAATATCTGTATGTTTACGTTTCTTAAACACAAATAATATTATAATAGTTTCCTTAATTATTGGAAATGATTTATCATACATTCCAATAAATATGAATAAATCATTTGTGAAATATATAATTATTGAGACGTAACTCCTATATGAAATTTATTTACAACTTATATGTTTTTATTTAATACCAGATTTAGTTTCCGAGCTTGTCTTGTCGAATATATGTCAAGCGAAAAGGCGAAATAGTCTAGAGATGCATGCAAGTTAATGTTTTCGGGTTGAGAAAATCGCTGAGAATATAAAAAAAAAAAACGATTTTTCGCTTGTCTGCCTTTTGTTTACATTCTTTTGTTAAATTCGCTTTCTTTACATTTATCAATAATAGTAGCATGGAATTCTAAAGAATTGTTCGTCTATTTTTTGCAGCTTTGCTTTGACCGTATTTTTTATAGAATCACTATTTGATAGATAGATAGATAGATAGATAGATAGATAGATAGATAGATAGATAACAGACTTAGATAGATAGATAGATAGATAGATAGATAGATAGATAGATAGATAGATAACAGACTTATATATATATATATATATATATATATAGATAGATAGATAGATAGATAGATAGATAACAGACTTGTATATATATATATATATATATATATATATAGATAGATAGATAGATAGATAGATAACAGACTTAGATAGATAGATAGATAGATAGATAACAGACTTAGATAGATAGATAGATAGATAGATAGATAGATAGATAGATAGATAGATAGATAGATAACAGACTTAGATTGATAGATAGATAACAGACCCGCAGATGATTGTCAAATCATTAATTGTACATCATTGAATTAGTTTTCATCTTGTTAACAAGCCTGTGTTCTACGGTAACTGTTTTACTCCAGCAGAAGTCTTGCACGCGGTTGAAAGCGTGTGAGGCATGCAACGAAGGACACCTTCACAGAATCTATTTGAGCAAACTGAGCAAAGTCATTGTCCTGAACCTCCATATGTCTTTCTAGACATTGATGAGAACAGTCTAGATAGATAGATAGATAGATAGATAGATAGATAGATAGATAGATAGATAGATAGAAACAAAACACGAAAGTAGAAAAGATATATAATGAACAAATAATGAAGAGACGGTAGATAGATAGATAGATAGATAGATAGAGAGAGAGAGAGAGAGAGAGAGAGAGAGAGAGAGAGAAACAAAACAAAACACGAAAGTAGAATAGATATATAATGAACAAATTATGATAGATAAATAGATAGATAGATAGATAATGAACAAATAATGAAGAGACGATAAATAGATAGATAGATAGATAGATAGATAGATAGATAGATAGATAGATAGATAGATGACAGACTTAGATAGATATATATATAGAGAGAGAAACAAAACGCGAAAGTAGAATAAATATATAATGAACAAATTATGATAGATAAATAGATAGATAGATAATGAACAAATAATGAAGAGACGATAGATAGATAGATAGATAGATAGATAGATAGATAGATAGATAGATAGATAACAGAATTAGATAGATAGATAGATAGATAGAGAGAGAGAGAAACAAAACAAAACACGAAAGTAGAATAGATATATAATGAACAAATTATGATAGATAAATAAAT